CCGAGTAGTCAGCCCCAACATTTGTACAATTTTTAATCACCACCACCTAGGGATTCTTCCAGTCAAATATGGTTGATATCCACTTCTTAGTTCCAGAGAAGAAGTCGCTTAAAGCAATATGGGCAAATTGACCCCTTTTGGCCCCGCCCCTCAGCCCCACCATTTGTACAATTTTGAATCCCCACCACCTAGGGATGCTTCCGGTCAAATTTAGTTTAATTCCAACCGGTGGTTAAGAAGAAGAAGTCGTTTAAAGAAATTGTTGACGTACGGACGTACGGACGACGGACGCCACGGTATGGCATAAGCTCACCTTGGTCCTTTGGACCAGGTGAGCTAATAAGTAAAGGTCATTTGTTTGAACAAAGATGGTAGCCCTCTATTACAGCATGCTACTGGCCAAATATCATAACCCTAGGCTTCTTGGTTATTCAGAAGAAGTTGTATATTTGACCCCTGTGACCTTGAAAATGGGTGAATGTCTTTTATTTGAACAAACTTGGTAGCTCTCTGTTACAGCATGCTACTGGTCAAATAGCATCATCCTAGGCCTCTTGGTTATTGAGAATAAGTTGGTTTAAGGTTTTAAACATATTTGACCCCTGTGACCTTGAATATAGGTAAAGGTCATTCATTTTAACAAAACTTAGTAGCCCTTCATCCTAGCACGTTACTGCCTAAATATCATTATCCTAGGCCTCTGAGTTATTAAGAAGAATTTGTTTTAAGATTTTTTAAGACAATTGACCCCTGTGACCTTGAAAATGGGTGAAGGTCATTTATTTGAAAAAAACTTTGTAGCCCTTCATCCCAGTTTGCTTCTGGCCAAATATCATCACCCTAAGCCTTTCGGTTATTAAGAAGAAGTCGTTTAAAAGTAAAATATTGACGCCGGACGACAGACGGACGCCGCACCACGGCATAAGCTCACGAAGTGCACACTTGGCACTTCGTGCCAGGTGAGGTAAAAAAGCAACAAGTAACAGAAGGCTTATGGCCTGAATGGTTGTCAGAGTTGTAATGAATTGTTATTTGTTGTTGTGATGTGAAAAAGGAAAATATTGGTAGTGCCTATAACCCAAATATGGCTTTTTAAGCATGGATTCGCCAATAAAATGATGTTTGGGAACAACAAACAATGTATTACATATATATCTCGGTACAGTCAGAAAACAGGCAAACCCTAGTCTTCTCTACGATATACTAGTTATCAAAACTGGATTATTATAGAATCAAAGCACTAAACATTCTCTATACATTTTGTTATTTTGTTTAACCCTTTTAACCTCACTTTGTCAGCGTCTTAATTTCAAAGTTTTAAAATCAATTTTGAATTCTCGTAACACTGCCCTTTATGAACTATATTAAACTTTACCCAATTCCCAAAATCAATTCTTGATATAACAAAAATTGTTTATGGATGGATGAAGTGATCATAGCAAGCTTACTGAGATTTTGACCTTATATGAAATTAATAAAATGGTTTGCAACATTTTCTAAATGTTAAGTATTCCTTGTATAAGGTAGATGAAATTGAGATCTCTCATTATTTTGAAAATATCGAATCCCATCCCTGCCAAAAGTAGTACTGTGTAACCTCTGACCCTTTACATTGACTGATGACAACCACAATCTAATCATGTTAGAGTGTGCACGTGCAGTAAAGTAAACCTGTTTAGGGGATTCTCGAAATATCTGATGCACTTCAAAAGTTGTTAATCGTGACCTATGACCCAATAACATTGCCTGATGACCACCACGATCTAAGGCATAATACAGAATGAGCAGAATGTATCTGGTTTCATGTCATTTATATTATACAAACTTTAACATGGGTCAGACAATCAATGATGGTAGGTAGGCCAGATATCTGGTTACAAAATTGAGTAACTGAACAAGAGGCCCAATGGGCCTGCATCGCTCACCTGGTATAAATCTCACACTTGTAACCTTAAAAGTGATCTAAAATAAAGCTACAGGCAAAATAAAATATCAGTATTTATGATTAAAATTCATTCAAAAGAACCTGTTATTTTTTTTTTATAAACATTTCATCCCTGTGATTGAAAGTCGAACAAAGTCATTATGATAAACAAATTTTATAGCCTTTCATCTCAGGATGCAACTTGGAAAGTATCAACATCCTGGGACCCATGGTTATTCAGAAGAGGTCGATTAAAGATTTTAAACAAATTTGACCCCTGTGACCTTGAATATAAGTCAAAGTCATTCACTTTAACAAACATAGTAGTCCTTGATCCCAGCATGCTACTGACTATCAACATCCTAAGCCTTTTGGTTATTCAGAACAAGTTGTTTATTTTTTTTTATATTTTGACCATATTTGCTCCTTGTGACCTTGAATATGATTCAAGGTCATACATTTAAACAAACTTGGTAGCCCTTGATCCTAGTATGCTACTGACTAAATATCATCACCCTGGGCATTTTTTGTTATTCAGAAGTTGTTTAAAGTTTTTAACATATTTGACCCCTGTGACCTTGAATAT